TATTTTGGGTCCCCCCCCCCCCCCCAAGCAGGGCCCTGTACAAATTGCAATGCAAGCCACCCCCACCAAACATATTAATGTCTCCTCTCCTCTCCCCGCAGTAAAATGAAAATAGCCCCGTCTTTACCAAAGAAATTAAATGAAAGTTGTCACCCCACCAACAACCCCTTTTACCTTTAATAATGAGTTCAACCTTTGTAATGCCAAATTAACCTTAAATTATAATAAATTCATAAATAACGACAAGGACTATTTCGTCAACACATAAAATTCCCGTGAATTTCGCCTGGAATTGAGATTTATTGTCATTGAGTGAGTGGTTCTTGACACACCCTTTGCCACTCACTACTATTAGTATTAGTATGTGCCTAACTTTGCTCAACCATTCCCCTTCAGCAGTACAATCCGGACAGATGGTCTAGCGGTGTCTGTCTTCTTGATTCTAATATAAATTATACACTTGGATATTTAGAATTCAACTATCATTAACCACTCTCAAAGTTAAAATTTATATTCAGTTAGCGGGCGATTGAAATTTACTATACAAGGATCCACTTGACTTGATATTCCTCACTTATTTAAAAAGACCATACCCACCTCTCTCTCTCTCTCTCTTTCTCTCTCTGGTTACGCGTATATAAATAAATATACAGTGACTGAAAACCAGTCTAGTCAGCTCTGCTCCCACCATTCATCTCTTTCAGTCTCATTATTCATTACTTTCTCTAATAGTCGAAATCTTACTAGAGTTTGTAGTGAGAAAAGAAGTGCCATTTGTTGTCCTATTCCTATCTGTGTGTGTTCTTGATAGGCGTTGTGGAGCAGGAACTATGAATGCAGAGATGAATGGCGGTGAGTTGGAGGGGAAGCAAGAGAATGGCCATGAAAAGATAGATTATGTGTTTAAGGTGGTGGTGATTGGTGATTCTGCTGTGGGCAAGACTCAGATATTGTCCAGGTTTGCCAAGAATGAGTTCTGCTTTGACTCCAAATCCACCATTGGGGTTGAGTTCCAGACCAGGACTGTCACCATTAAGGGCAAAGTCATCAAGGCCCAGATCTGGGACACTGCTGGCCAAGAAAGGTTAGTCCCTCTTCTCCCATTATATATCCTCTTCACATAGTTTTGCTTTGAGTTTGAATTGCATATTTCTTTTCATGGAAACCATCTATGTTTTGAACTGTTTAAAAGATGTTTCGGCTGAAAACAAAATTTTAAATTTGTTGGTTTTTTTCTGAAATATTTTCAAAACATTTATGTTCCCAATAAACTTACCGACACTATCTGCCAAAATAAAATTAAAATGATTGGTTATGATTCCATATGGTATTGACTATTGTGGTGAAATAGGATTGTTGTAAGACATTTTCCCATTGTATGTAGTAGGAATGGTTGGAAGTGGTTAGAGAAAGAGTGAAGTCAAAGGCTGCATTTTTGTTTCAATAATGGTATTGAAGGCTGAAACAGTCAAATAAGAAATTGTATCCAGCGTGTGGAAAGAAAGAAGACAGATATTCTAGCCAAAACCGTGTACATTAATTAGACTCAGATATTGTTCTAGTAGTATGAAACACGCTGCAAGAATTTCTTTGTTTCATAATCCTAGTTAGGGCCCAGTTTGATAAGATTCGGTAGTGGTTATATATATACACAATTCAAATGCCAACCCAGCCAAAACATAAAATAATTAGGATGATACCTAGAGTGACATAAAACTTTGCTACCAATAGATATACACTCGGAAACATAATCAATTAATTTTTTTTTTTTAAATGGACACAAGTTAAGTCCGATCTGGCAGTAAGTAGAACTAGAGACGAATGGAGGGTCTAAAGTTGGAGTAATGTGAAATTAACAACCATAANATTTTTTTTTTTAAATGGACACAAGTTAAGTCCGATCTGGCAGTAAGTTGAACTAGAGACGAATGGAGGGTCTAAAGTTGGAGTAATGTGAAATTAACAACCATAACTGTAAGTGTAATGTGAGAAACATAATAGTTACTGAAGATAATGCGTGACGGGCATAGTTAAATAGGACAAAATATTTTTCTTTTATCTTTTGGAAATTTCTCCACANAATGCGTGAAGGGCATAGTTAAATAGGACAAAATATTTTTCTTTTATCTTTTGGAAATTTCTCCACAAGGCTTAGAGTACAAAACGCTTCGCTGACTCTAGATATTTAGCATGAATAGTCGGCACAAGTTTAGACACTCTGTAACCCAAAAATAAAAAATAAAAAATTTTGGAAAGCGGGCCAAAGTTACGTTTGGTAAGTCAGGATGTGTAAGTTGTGGTTGGAAGGGGTGCCAAACATATTTATTGATGGCCCAAGGGTGGGAAGTACTGAGCCTGTGGTTCAACTTCTCACCTTGTAAATCTAATCCAATGCATTAAAAGTTGTCAAATTAAGTTACCAATTTAAAAACAAACAAGTGTCATTATTCTTTCTTATGGTCTTGAATTGAAACTAATATTTTGTAGGTACCGAGCAGTGACAAGTGCATACTACAGAGGAGCACTTGGGGCCATGCTGGTATACGACATCACCAAGCGACAAAGCTTTGATCACGTAGCCAGATGGGTGGAAGAACTGCGGGCCCATGCGGATAGTTCGATCGTGATCATTCTGATTGGAAACAAAGCTGATCTTGTGGATCTGAGGGCAGTTCCAATGGAGGATGCTATGGAGTTTGCAGAGAATCAGGGCCTGTTCTTCTCTGAGACATCAGCTCTCAGTGGTGACAATGTGGAATCTGCATTCTTTAAACTGCTAGAAGAGATACACAGTGTGGTCTCCAAGAGGGCCTTGGATTGCGACAATGGAAAATCCAATGATAGCAATGCGGGCTTGCCTAGAGGATTGAAAATCGATGTCATATCGGGCTCGGATTTTGAAGTTAGTGAGATGAAGAAATTATCTGCTTGCTCTTGTTGATCTTAAAGTCAAATAAGAGATACAGAGTGGAGTTTGTTACTCGTGGAACTTGATTTAATCTTCCTGTCAATTGTGTTTTTAAGGAATGAAGAAGAGTGATGAGTGTATTTATAGTGTGTTCAATTTATGTGAAAAAAATTGGTCATATCTTTTGTATACACCAAGTAAATGCACCCCCCCAGCCCCAGCCCCAGCCCCACCCCCCTCCCCTCCTAAA